CCATCTATCTGGGGCAGCCCCTGCCAATGCGTGACAACTCCTTCTGTGAAGAAATTCTTCCTGTTGGCCAATCTGAACCTCCCCTGGGGCACCTTAAATCTGTGTCCTCTTCTTGTCCTGGTGTTTCTCACCTGGGATGTGTCTGCTCCCCCAGCAGCACTGCCACCCACCCAGCTTGTGTACACTTGGAGGTGCATCCCCTTCACAGTTGCTCTTGCATTTGCTCCACCTTATTATTCAGTCACCCAGTCTCACCCCCCCTGCTGTGGGGGCTGCCTGTGTCCCCCTGAGAACCACTTGTCCCCAGTTCCTCTCTCCCAAGCCACATTCCCTTAGAGCACCTCCTCCTGCTTCTCCCCTCACTGCCTTTAGCCCTTTAATCCTCCCTAGCTGGGTTCCTGTAACCCGATCACCAACCCTATGAGTTAATGACTTCTTTGCCATCTGAAGTTTATGAGTCTTGTTTCACCTTTGCAAAAAGAGAGCTGTGGGGAAGATATCCATCCCTTTCTCTCAGCGTGGGGAGGACCCAAGTTGTGTTCCTCTTCTAAGAGTTCTGGAGGAAGATATTTACATGAGCAAACAGAAATGAGTCTGGTTAAAGCCTTATTTCTGACTTTATGCCACAATCAATGGCATTGTGTAAAAACAGATGTGCAGAAGCAGTACCTTCGTTTAATTCAGTTTAATTAGTTTAATGGCATTTCTCTGGCAGTATGATGGGCAGTGGCTGCTTAGCCTGGATTCCTGGATGGCAAAGTATAGCTTAAGATGTTATATCAAAGAGATTCTAAGAAAAGAAAACAGTGAAAAGAACATTTTCTGTCCCCTAGCAGAGGGTTAGACAATTAATCACTGTTATTGTTGACTAAGTAATTTTTTTCTTGACAGCTGTGCCCTTCAAAGTGATATCAGGGGAAACTGAATCCATTTGCATTACTTCAGCCAAATCACTGTAGAAAGCTGAAACTAGCTCTGAAAAAAACAACGAGGAAAACAGGGACATCAGTGAACTCTGAATGACAGAATAAATAGGCTATTCTGAGTACTCAGCAAAGTGCATTTACTGTTCTGTATTTACTATTTCTCAAAAAAAAATTAAGATTATTGTTTATTGAATTTGTTGAGAAGCAATGAAATCTCCTGTAATTTTATTTTTAAATATCATTTTACTACCCAACAGCAATAGTAAATCCATAAAATAACACGATTGACTAGGACTATGAAGTAAAAAAAAAAATATTGTTTGCTTTGTACATTCTTACTAGTCTTGGCTAAGATGTTATAAAAGCAGTATCTTTTAACACCTTTTATTATACAAGGGTCAAGGGGTTTTTATGTTTCTTAAAGAAAGCTTCAAATAGCCCACATAGTGGGCTCCTGCATCTTTCATATGGCTGCTGTATAAACAAGGCCATTTTACACAGGAAATGACATAACCATGTAAAAGTGTACATGGAGTTTAGGCACATATTCAAACACTAATGGGAATGCATTGTTTTCAATGGCATACTTTTATGTTTACCTATTGAGCTTAGTACCCATTTTTTAGCCAAATACAACAAAAATTATCCACACATACCTGTCTTATAGTGTACTGTTTATTTGAAATTTGGACCTTCACAAAGACTCTCATGGGACAGATAATGACCTTAAAAAGTAAATACAAGTGAGGCATTCTCAGTGAGAGAGTGAAACCTGCCATCATAAAGGTGGAAAGCTAAACTTTTAACCTGTATTGCTTTACAGCTCAGGTTTCTACCATGCAGTTGCTCACACCAACTCACCCATGGGAAGAAAGTCATAACAATAATTTAGGGTGTCTGTCTTTGCACATTATATAATTACCTGGCTAAAGAAAGTGGTGCCAAATTCCTGCAGTCATAGAATCACAGAATCACTCAGGTTGGAAAAGACTTCCACTAAACCACATCACCAAATGTCACATCTGCTTGTTTGTGGAACACTTCCAGGGATGGTGACTCCACCACTTCCTTGGCCAATGTCAAGATTCCCTGTTTCTCTCCAATTTCTGTGCTGAGTGTCAACTCCAGGGTGTGCCTTATTCCCAAACCTCTGCATTTGGAGGGGAATGAAGATTGAGTGAACCCTGCCTGGGTCTTTCTTTTGTGCTTATCCGTGCCATTCACGTACTTTGGGAAATTTCAATGCCTGTTTCTGTTCACATGCCAGGTAACTCAAACTGCAGATTGCTGTGTAAAGTCTTGACAAGATTGGCAACAATTTGTGAGAAGACAGAAGTTTATGCCAGGGGATTCCAATGCCTCCAACAATGTACCAATAAAGCACCTATAGCCTAGTACACATTTACACCATGGAGAAAGTCAGTAGAGCATTCCAGAATAAAATAGTGTTGAACTGCAATTCCCAGAGTTATCTAACAATTTCACAATATAAATGCAAAAAGACACTCTGGACATGACAATACTGGTTTATAACTAATGGTATAAACCAGAATAATCAATTTGAGACCTAAAAGTGGAAAAACCCTACCCTATTCCTATGCCCACAATTATAAACTCCTTGTTTTGACCCAAACTTGAGCAGTGCCAGGGCTGTCCTTTCTGGATGCCACCACATTTGAGAGACCAGCCAAGCAAACTGAATGTCATGTTACCTCCTAATCCATACACTTGGGCTTAAACTGCTTCTGTTTTGGCCAAACCCATTTCTGAAGCAGTAATAATCCATTATGATTTCAGCATTTTACTGTCTGTAGTTTCAAATTTGTTTAATCTGATATTACATACCTACTGGTGTTTGGTTTTGTTTTTTTTTTATTTTCCTTTCTAAGTATAACTCCCATCAAGCAGAATGGAGGCTTTTGAATGATTAGCAAAGGGTGTTTTTTAAGGCTTTAATTTGTCAGTATTTCTTTTAATTTTTCCTCAGATCATACTGTTTGCTTTGGGAGTATTGCAAAACCTTGGCATATTTTTCCATTTAGATGCTGATACATACTCAATTTAAATACCATTTCCTTGAGTCTTTAGCTTGCTTTATTCATGCATTGAAAAAGTCATACAAGGACAGCAAGGAAGAACCTCAGAGAGGTTAACACCTTAGGTTTTAGAAACTTTCTATCATGACCAACCTCACCAGGACTCTTAGACTGGTCACCAGCTCTGCAGTGTGAGCCAAACAGGAACTGTCCTTGTCAGATTTACAAGCTACCATGCCTTGCCTGTAACACCAGTGCTCCCGTCCACAGTTATTACAGCCCTTGATGAGTCCAGGTGGTACTGAAGCAAACTGCCCCGTGCAGGCACACCTAATCCCAGGAGTTAACTTGTCTTAACTTAGATTTGCTTCAAGTGTATTTAAATAGGCAGTATTTGCTATTTTAAACTGATCACCCTGAGCCATTGAGGAACGTGCCTGTGTGGTTAATAACGGGCATGGCACAGCTGTGTGTCACACATCAGAGCAGAGATTTCCTTGGGAATGTGAAAGCAGCATTCCCAGAGAGTGGGAGCAGCACTTCCCTAAGGAAGAAAGGAGAGACAACCCTTTGTCATGGTCATCTAGCAAACCTCTCCAGGAGATAGCTGGAGCCAGTGCTAGAGGAAGTTGCAAACACACCTGAGAACAGCCAGGATCAGGAAAAGAACTGCTTGAGCAGATTGGGGGGAAAAAAAGCCTGAGCTGCTCTCCTGGCTTGGGAATTGTCAGGGGAATGTTTTGCCTTCTACTGTGGCAACAGTAAAAATGAGCGGTACCTAAATCAGCTTTTAGTAAATCTTAGATTTGTGCTTTTGAAAGACTGGCTGGTGATGAGCAGTTAGTGCTGGGGTCAGTAACTTCTGTGCCCAGCCTAAGGCTCCATGAGGATGAGGAAGAGCAGGACCTGGGAAGTGCACTCTGAGCGTCCAGAAGGGAGATGGAGAATTCCTGTGGGCAGCCCTGACCCACCAAAAAGACCCATAAAATGCCCAAATTTCTCACACACTTGTTACAAAGTAGTTTCAAGTGCTTGTCATCCTAAGTGCCTGCTGCCCTGCACACTGGGGATTCAGCCGCAAGCGCAGTTTTGTGGTCCCCAGGTTTGCAGCAGTCAAGCAGTCCCTGCAGGCAGGAAAACCAGGCAGTGTCAGTCTCTGCAGGCAGGAATGATGGCACTGAGGAAATCCCACAGACCAAAGCTCCCTGCAGGGCCGTTCTGCATCCCTGAGCTGCAGGTGAGGGCACAGGGCAGGTCACCTGCACAGGGGTCCCCCAGGTGTCTGGGAGCAAGGCTGCTTATCCAGGTACATTAATCTGGTTAAAGGCTGAGCTGCCCAGAGAGTGCAGGAGGAAGGGCAGAGCTTTATGTCACTGTTTATGGCCATTGATCAGGAATTTAGGGTGGTTTGCTGCTGGTGTGAGCTTTAGCATGTCCAGACTGGGGTAGTGAGCAGAAGGACCTTGGGGACTGTACCCAGCTCCTTGCCTCTATCCACACCTGTGATGCTGTGCAGAACCAGGAAATCTTAGAACTCAATGGTCTAAGCAATATCAAACCCTAGCATTTATATTTTGTACTATTGGTAAACTTCTTCAGTAATTTCTGATGGTTCATAGGATCTGTCTGTAGTTGAACATGTGGTACCCGCTTTTGTGGATGGAAATATACACGGTCAATCCCATTTATAATCTATGTCTATAATAGATAAAGGGGCTATACAAGCACACAGCCCTTGGAGGATGGAATAAAAGAATACCAAAGCTCTTTTGCAACCATCTGCATAACTCATTTTTGCCCTAGACACATCAAGTCATAGTGTCATTCCCCACCAGATCAAACCAGGCCTTCCTTTCATATCTTTCTTTCAATGTTTCCACAGCTTCTCTCTGTGGCAGCAAAAAACACAAACATGTTTTGCATACCCCTGGTATTCTGCTGCATGGAAAAGTCCCTTTCACTTGTATTTATTGTACAAAAACATAAAACAATTTCTTAATTGCATTATAATTATGCAGAGTTGGACAGCTAGGCACAATGCAGCACTGTGTCAATAATTTATTACATCTTATGCCATAATTGAACACTTTTACTATGAGCGTTTGAGAACAACTTGGACCTTATACAGACTAATATATTTTGCTACATAATAATGGAAAGGTGGATACTTAAGAAAGATATGTAGCTTGGAGGAAAACATACATGGAAGCAAATAGTTCCTGCATCACCTATCTTCACATAAAACTTAAAACTAAACCAACATATTATATTTAATGACCCCTTTTTATATATGCATAGTTTCAAGAGATAATCAGAAAGAAATCATATTACAGTGCAACTATTTACACCAAGATGGGGGCACACCAGAACACAACACTTCTCAACATTGGGACTCTTTTCTCACATTTATGAATGGACAAAGCCCAAGGGAATCAGGCAGAAATTCAGTCTCAAGAACAATGTTCAAGGAACAAACAGGTCATATCCACAGCTCACTGATATCATCTCCATCCACTGCCTCGAGGCTAAAAGCAGGAGATCTCAAAGTGTGGAGGTATCATCTTCTCTGTCATGGACTTCACTTAGAGTCAGTCCTGTGTTGCCAGCGGCACAAGGCCTTAAATCCAGCTGTGTGACAGCATCCAAATGCTACTGAAATATGTCCATGGGGAAAATACAGAAACAGTGGATTTATTGCTACATCCTTGTAAACATACTTACCCTAGGGGTAAGAAATCTAGTTAACCTTGTTTGAGGAGAAGTTATGTCCAATGTGTCATATTACCTTTCATAATATATTCACACAAGCAACTGTTCTGCTACCTACAACCACACGACTCCACCACCATGTCCTCATACTGCTTGTAGACCACGTTATTTGCAGAGTCAATGAAAAGAATGCTGATGGGGCTCAGCCGGGTTGGGACACAGCAAGTTGGGGGGGTGGATTCGGGATCCATGGAGTTCATTAATGTCTGGATAACTGCGTGGTTGGTGGGCTCCAGGTGGGATCGGAGGGGGAATTCACAGAGCCCTTCGCAGTGATACGCCTCATACTCCAGAGGGGCTATTATCCAGTCATCCCAGCCCATATCCTTAAAATTCACATGGAGGGCTTTTCTGCTACACCTTGCCTTCAGGTTCTTGGTGGGCCTCTTCCCTTGCCGTGTTGCTAGAGGAGCTCTTCTCTTCCGCCTCTGGTTGAATAAGTACTCATAAACAGTTTTGTCATCTTGGCCGGATCTAGCTTTGATTTCATTGAAGAATAAGTCTCTTTTTTTTGTCCTTCCAAACACCAAGAACAGAGCCTTTTCATTGACCTGTCTTCCTGTTCTATTAAATCCCACACTCCTGAGATCAACAGCTCTCCCCCTGTCAAAAGTTTCCAGTTCAAAACACAAATTAACCAAGTTTTTAAAGTTTCTGAAAAGCTTCCAGATGTCAAACACTTCCCACTTGGGTGTATCAGTGATACTGACAGTCCGAGAGTCCAAGAGCGTTGAGGCTTGTCTGTTTGTAGAGCAACTAAATAATTTTACTTGGGAAGCTTTTCCAGAAGAATGAGACTTCCATGTATCAGAAGGTTTTTTTCTCAGTATTCGAAGCTCTGCTCCCAGCAAGCCATCTTTTTCTAATGCACTGATGTCAAAAATATATTTTTGTTTTCTTATAGTTGGTGCTCGCTCATCTAAAAAAAGCACACAGATTTTTAAATGTATATCAAACACAGACCAATATAACTTAATCAGTTCTTAGTGGTTTTCCTCAAATTTGCTTATAAGCCTTGAAGTTAGCATATTGAACAGAAAGAGCAATTTTTGTCTAAGGGATCAGCTCCATGCAGGGACTCAGAAGAACTCAGGGACTCACCAGAGAAATGAGTTTCTGCATCTGCCTTGTAGAAATCTCCTTTCTTTCATCAGTGGGAATTTTCTACCTTCAAAGTTGTGATCAGCCAGTTGAAAAATAATACTTTTTCAGGGCTAAGCAGTGACAAGACCCATTCACCATTTATATCTTACTTAAATTACTGAAATAGAGCTTGGTAGTAGCCAGGCCTTATGCTGGCTCCAAACATGAGCAAATTTACTCCTAGATGATACAATGGTGAATTAGTTCTCTAAAACCAGCATCCTCAGGAACTGCCAGACACAAGGATAATTGCCTATTTAACTAAACACCACATAATTCACAATTTTTCAAACTGGGAAGAAAATCATTCCTTTCATTATCCTGACTTTACATTTGCTTGCTTCAGCTGGTGAGGAATATGGCTGAGCCAGCCTTCCAGTGACGTGACACTAACAGTGCCTTCCAGTGGCAAGCTGGGAACCTGGAGGCAGAGTATCCCCCCTTCCCAGCAGCCAAGCTATTAATGAAGAGGTGGCAAACAAGTCCAGTCCTGGTGAGTCTTTCATCACAATTCCTTCACCAGCTGTGTTGCTTCCTTGACCATGACAAAACTCTTACAAATGTCACTGGAAGCAGCAAGGGCCTCCCAAAGCAGGGTGGTGAGGTGAACATCATTCATTGGGAGGCTGGTTATTTCTCCTGTGAAATCAGACACTAGCCCAAATTTTCATAGGTGTTTGGAACAGAAATGGTGAGCTGCAAATTCTGGAGTCTTGGATGTTATTACCCTTGGTAGCCTGTGCTGAGCTATGGGCTTCTTGGTGGTACCTGAAAGCTTTAAGCTAGTACAGATATACCCACTCCACAGGATAATGACTTCTGGGTCTGCAGTGTAGTTCCTCACAATTCTACCTTGAACAAACCAGACTGGCCCTTTCATGGTGAAAATTGTGGGTTTTTTTTCACAGAGTAGCTCTGTTCTTAGTGTATTATATGTTTTTAGGCACACTACAGCCTAATGTTAGCTGTTTCCATGAGCTAGTTTCCAGCTAGCTAGAAAGAAAATAAGACAAAAATGCAAAAGATTTTAAACACCTAAGCATGCAAAGACTGATTGATTTTCAACAATATGCATCTAAAATACTTCCTAAATGTTTTCTTTGGCTGCCACACAACCATCTAGTTCTGCCTGTAAATGAGTTTTCCAAGATAAGGCAGGAGGACAAAATCTGCAGCAAAGTTGTGTGGTTTCATTTACATTAAATAGAGCTATTTGACTTTACCAAAATATGAATATTTTCTAATACACTCTGCATTTATAAACACACTCAGGCATCTCTCTCTGTCCACACTCACTCACACACCAGCTCCTTTCTTACCTTGTCCTTTGTCTATAAAGCTGGTTATTGTATTGGCAAGTCCAGCCTCCAGTTTTACACTTCCATTAACACCCTTTCTTTCTGCATCTGAGAGAGTCCTGTACAAAGAGAGCATGTATTCATGTGGCGTTATCGGGGGATGTCGGAAAGTTTCCTTAGCTTCCCTCTGGGTTACAGGCTCTTTAGTCTTTTTGGTTTTGAAAGAATCAGTGTCAGTACCGCTTGTGCCAGTTTTTTTCAAAGCCACCTTGCTGCTAAGATTTTGAACCTTTGGAGTCACTGTCCTTACTCCAGAAGGTCTGCTGGGGAGATGTCCTACCTTGCCCTCCGTGGCTGCTGTTCTTGAGGGAACCTTCTTTGAGTCATCGTTCTTGGCCAGCAGAGCTCCAGCCTGAACAGCACTGCTTTTAGTCCTGGCCTTTGAGGTCCCAGCACTGTATCCATGGCTTGCAGTCCTCAGTGTACCTGCCCGTGTGGAGGGATTCCTCTCCTTTCCTTCTGCTTTCAAAAAACCTAGTTTAGATCCTGGATTACCCTGGCCTGCTTCAGAATTACTCAGCGCTCCAGGAACTAGATCCAGAGACAGCCAAGTCAAATGCCAAAGCAGTAAAGTGAGAAAATGCAGGATTTTCATCCTCTGGTCTTCCTCTGAATGCCACTAAAGAAAAAATCAGAAAAGGTTCCTCCAGTTTGGCAGAAGAAAACATGAAAGAAATTAAAAACCAAAGTTAGCAAAAATGGCTTTCGTTTGAGATTAAAACATTTCAAATATCGTTGTTCAATACTTGTATCCAGTCCCATAGTGGAAATGCTCATGTACTCAGATACGATCTCCCCTGACTTCAGTTAGCAGCTATAAAGAACTTGTTCTTGAAAAGAGAAAGTTTACCACCTCGTTTTCTTCTGTAAAACTGACTGAAAACTTGAAGGAGTCTTGTTTAAATCCAAGGGGTTTTTTTTTTTTTTTCCAAGAAGGAAGAATGGCGTAATGCTGCCTCTGTGTTAAAAGGTTTTTTTAAAGTTTTGAGTTTTGAATCCTTTCCAGTGAAAATATTTCACACACAGAGACCTGCAGGTGCTCAGAAATCTTTTACAAACCTGAACTCTGGAATTGGAAACGGAATTCCAACAAACCTATTTAATTACTCTCTGATGTCATGCTGTCTAAACTAATTTAACTGCGATATATTTCTTTAAAAAAATCTTCTTTACCCTTTTCATTAGCATGAGTCATACTCTGCCTCATGTGAAACAGCTCCACAGGCTCAAAACTCCAGAGGATGCCTTTTCAAGTGGCAGTATGACCTCTGCCTCAGCCCTCGATGAACTTCACATTTAGACAGGACAAACTGCAAGATCAACAACTGAGAGCTGTCACGCAGTCCACTGGACACATACATAAACTAATTTAGAAATAATTCATGTAGCTCTTTTGCCAGAGAACTTTGTCCCCCTGTGACTGAAGGAAGGGCTGTGCGGTAATGCAGGGGCTTAACGAGGGTAACATTTAATTTTACACAAACACAACAGGGCCGTGCCCGCAGTCACTGTATTTTGGCTTATTTATTGCTGTGCTGAAAAAAAAACCCCCCTTGTCAGCCCAGCTGGAGAAGCAGCTCCTGCCGGAGGGGATGCCCCGCGGGGCGGGCGCGGTGCAGCGGGGCAGCAGTGCACCCTGCAGGCAGCCATCCTCCTCCTTCTCCTCCAGAGCCGCTCGGGAGCTGGAGACAGGCTGAACCCCATCTTTCCTCCCGAGACTGCTGAGCACCAGCCTTTGTTTTAATTTTAAAATGTCCAAAAACTGCTGACACCGGGGTCCCAAGAAGGCTGCGGGTCAAACCCAGCGCTTCTCACGGTCAGGGCTGTCCTGCGGCTTTCAGCCATCCAGAAGAGAGTGTAGAGCAAATGTGTCTTTCATAAGCTGCCAAAAATGAACTGTTGTTCTAAATGAGCCTTCGGGAAAAGAGGCATTGGGCTGGACTCAGCAGGGATTACTGGGACCCTTCTCTCATCTTGCACTGATACTAAGCCCAGTCCTTATCCTGCAATTGCTTTTCTTTCAAGATGGAAGGGAAAAGGTACACCACTTTTTAGCTTGTTCTGTGTGTGCTGTAGCATTCCCCACCCACCCTGACTAGTATCAGAAACACTGGACTGCTTTCATAAATAACAACCTTCATGACATGAGGAGCTCTGAATGCTTCACTTGTTTTGATGGAGGAACTGAAGGACAGAAGAGTTAAGTGATTTTACAGATGTCACAAATAAGGTAGATTCAAATCATGATCCTCCTGATTTTGATCTAATGGCCTTCCTCTGATGTCAGTTGTGCTTTTGATATTTCCCTACAAAGTAAAGCAAACAAAACAAACTCTCCTGGGAGTTACCTCTGGTGAAACCATGCCCCAGTAGTCACTCCACACCATCCCATGGCCCTCACAGCCATGCCATCACTTTGTCCTTCCCATATTGCACACCTTTCTGCTGGGTGGTGTGCTGTCTCTGGTTCTGCACCATGGGGGTATTGATCAGCTTGCCAGTAAGCCACAAAAGTAGCTAAATGTTGAGCTTCCACTTTTAATCTATCCAGCTTCCAGTTTTCACAATGCTTATAAGAATTTAATATCCTTAAAAGGGTTAAAAAAATGCTTTCTCAAACTTGGATGAGATTTGCAAGTAGATTTAAAAATTATTTAAGAGATGGACATGAAAGAGCAGGAGGTTGAACAATGTGATTACATTGGCCTTATCTTAGTAAATCAGATTAAAGCATGATCATTCATATGTTCAAAGAATATTTGCATGTCTGAGATTAAAATATTTTAGTGGGCTGGACAGAGCTAAACAGAAAGAAAAAGGAAAAGCAAGCAGAACAAAGTGTGCAAATTAATCTCTCTTTAAAAGAGGCTGTCTTGAAGCAAACTCCATGTCAGTGCTTGGAACCACAGGAGCACAGATGCTGTAGAATGCACTGAGCCCCACAGACCCCAGAGTGGAATGCTGACCTTGAACAAGACCCACGGACTTGGGGGTTCCTGTAAACGCCCAAAGTGGAGTAATTCCAGCTGGCTTAACTCAAATTCCACTGGGATCTTCAATATGCAGCTAGAAACCTTCCTGCTGGTGAGGCTTTGGATATAGGACACAGTTCCAAGCCTCTCACTGTGCAACACCAGCCAAATTTCTGTGCACCCTCATGTGGCTGGGTTCATGTAGCCCACCTGTCCTTCTCAAGCTGTTCTGTGGCAGCAGCTCCTCCCTCACACGGTGTGTGTATGGATTTGAAAAGGGAGGGTCACCCATGTTCCTGCTCCCTGGAAGTGCATTGTCTCCTGCTCTCCAGGTCCTGAGCTTGTGCCTACATGAGCTGTGATGCCTTCTCAGACAACCTCAGTGAACCCTTCTGGATGCCCAGCATGGTCTAGAGGAAAGGATCGCTCTGGGGAGCTAGAGGAAGATTTCATAGTGTTGAAAACGTTGCCATTCCCTGAGGATGAATGACTCCACTGGATATGTGATGCCAAGAGTTAGAATTTGTTCTCTGGTGCACACTTGCAGCTGAAGTTGCACATGGAAGTCTTCATTCTAGTGACCTATCAGGAATTTCATTGTCCTTTCCCAGGTGGACTAATTTCCAGAAAGGACTTACAGGACTGAGCTAACTCCACATATTAAGCCATTTGCTGTCACCTTGTTTGGCTTATTGAAATTATCATTCTGTTTCTGTGAGGATTTAGACCTCTGTACTATAGCTCTTGGGGGACTGTTTTTAAAAGGATGAAGCTATATTTTTAGGAAGGAAATTAACAGCTCTGTGCTTTTCAAGGGGAAAGATTTACACGAAACTTACAGATGTTGTAATTAAAACTGAATTGTCTTGGGCCAGAACAAAACAAATGTAATGATGTTTCCACTCCCATGTGAAGGTGGCATAATTTTAAAACACTGTGCTACAATGTTGTGATGCTAAATTAAAAAGTGGAAGTCCAAAGAAATAATTGTGACATTAGTTTTCAAGAAACTTGGCTACATCTGTAAGCAGTAGTGAAGTACAAAGCACAAAATCTTAGAAACATGGAATATCCTGAGTGGGAGTGTTATTTTTGTTTCTTGATTCCACAGATGTACCTAATCCCTTCAACTCTGAATTAAGTGGAAATTTATTTTTTTTTTCCTAATTTTTGGTACCTTTGCCTGTACCAGTTAGAAAAATTCAGGGTTTGTTTCAAGCTTCTTCAAGCCTATTCACTAACAGAGTCCCTCCATTTGGCATACAATGTTAATTAGCCTGAATTGCCTTTGATTGGTATTGTTCTTCTTTGTAATAAAAGCATGATTAAATGGTTCAGGATTTGAGACAGAGATTCAGAGATCTCAAATTACTCAGCTGACCAAAGAGAACTTTGGGGGCAATTAATTCATTCTACCTCTTTAAAAAAACCTAGAATGTCAGTGATGAGGCATTCACTGTCACGGGAAAAAGCAGGGACTGAAAACAAGCCAGTATTACTCAGCAGCCAAACACTAAACGAAACATGTTTTTAGCATCTAAGTCGCCGAGCAATTCCCGATGAATTGCGGAGGGTTCACTATGAGTTTTTTGTCATTACAGTCGCTGCCGGCGCTGGCGCCGCGGGAAGGCCCCACCGCCCCTCACGGAGCCTGCGCTGGCTCCGGGCGGCCCCGGGCGGGCCGGGAGAGCCGCTCCGCCCGCGGCCGGCGGGGCGGGACCCTCGG